GAAAACGGGGTCTTCAAGAGTCATGGGCCCGAACCCTTTTAGGATTTTCTTAGTCTCACTGAGTCCTACTTATAGCCAAAATATGGAGTCAAACGGCGTCCGACAGTTGGATAGGTTCCCTCGTGAGAGGACCTGTCAAGATTGTCGCTAAATTTTCTTTATTCGTTACTTTTGTTTTGTTATATTGCTCATTGATATGATCAGTGCATTCTTTTCGTAGCGAATGAATATCTTGAATTAATTCATCAAAACATTGATCGACACTTTTCATACATTGATTTCGAAATGTATTAAGTAGTTGTTGTTTACTTTGTATTTGTAATGCAATGTCGTTAAATTTATTTTGTATAAGATTGTATTCTTCTAATAATGAGTATGTATGCTGATGAAAACATTCATTGCACATCGATATTTGACAGTGTTTACATGTATAAGTCGACGGTTGATCGAATAGTTGTTGTTCCATACATAATTTGCAGTAATCACTGCCGACACCATAATCAATTATCTCTGACGTCATTTATATCTATAGGTAAAAGATCAATCTTTAAAATAAAAAATTTAAATCGTGCCGACCATAGTTAAAGTCAGACATAATTCCGAACATATTAAGAACATTTTTCAACCTCAACACCAAAAAGCAGTGTTTGCATAAAAGACTGTATTTGAGCTCAACTTTCAGAAAAATTATATTGTGTTACCTGCCGTTTTTATTTTACTGTCTTAAAATATTTCGAGTGAACTGTCCTTTTTTCCCTTGGAATTGTATCAAAATGTCTTTTTATTTTGTGAATAATTTTAGATCGAATACACTCGCGATGTAAGATGCTGCTAATTCAAAAGTTCAGCAACAATTTTTTTCACGATATTTATGCATGGTTAGATAGAACTCGTCAAGCTGATCAAGAATAAATGTGTTTTATATTTTTTAACAAGATTTTTAGTATAAAAAAATTAGAAAAACTTCAGGGACTCAAAATTTCAAAAAAAACACTTCAGTTTACGAAACCTTCAAAAAAATTTTCTTTCTCTCTTGTAACTTGTTGAAAGTATTTTTTCTGGATGCAGCTTCAAAAACTGAGTATGAAAATGATATTAGGTCGAGTCTGAAGTCAAAGGGCTGTCCATTATGACCGTCTCTGGCTCATCCCTCAAATGTTGATAAACAATTTTGAAAAGCTATCTAGTTTTTTGTGTGAAGAGATGAAGTCCTGATCTATATGCTACTCGAACCGCCGGAAGCTCTGCTTTAAAGTGCGTCTCGCTTTTTTAAGAATTTATTTCGTTGTTAAGAAAAATGATTTTTGTTAGGGCCATCCAAAAAATGGGAAGGTCATTTTCCATTAACTTTTTAGTTTCGACTCAAATTTCGTTAAAATATGTTGAAATAGGTAAAAACCGATGAGAAAGCTAAT